GCAGCAGCAAGATTTGAATGATGAAAACTGGGTTCTCCTGCTTGTGTAGTATGGTGCAGTGTCCTGTTGCCAAACAAAGGGTCTTCTAGCAGCCACCATCTTGACCCAGCTTTACCTCCTCAAGTCACGATGGAGGCCTCTGTGTTGATTTTGAGACTCTGTGGGAAGATAATTCGAGGCAGATCACCATCACTAGAGATCACTCCAAAGATCAGGATGTTAACTGCATATTTAGTTTTCATCCCTTTTGTTACATCTTTTGGTGATGCAGCATCATCTGAACTGTTCTCAGATTGACACCCAAACACTCTGAAATATTCGTATTGGAGCTTCCGGCGCGAATGCCAAGCAGTACAATATTCCGTTTCCAAATTTCTGGCGGAGTGAATTGCGTCAAGGTGCTCTTTTTTCAGACGGTTCCCAACTGACCCTACTATAATATGCAGAGAACCATCCACACTTTTGAATAATAATTACGTGCCACAAAAAAAATCAAGCAACAAGGCTATAGAACCCAGTCTGTCCTGCATATTCACCCATAGCTGAGAGGGAGAAATCAAAACATATAAAATGGTGAAAATTTATCCATCGCACCCTGTATATGAAAAAATATATATAAGCGGTCAGAGAAACTGTCTGACAGCCATGACTGGCTTCTTCTACTTGTGTGCAGAGTCCTGTTGATTGTTCAACATCAAAAAGAGCCAAAATTCAAAAGAAATAACGATAGGATTTTCAAAAGAATGGTAAGAATAACATACAAAAAAAATGTCAGCTGCAAGAAAGTTTTAAGCAAAATGTGAACAAGGAGGAAATTATAGAATCAGAAAAAACGTCTGCTGAAGTTTCTAAGGCAGATTATAAGAAAAGACGGTATAGAAAATTTGACGCTCACAGGACGTGTTGAAAGTAAGAGAGACAGGGAAAACACCTAAATGATCTTAAGGCGAGGACGAAGAAAGCGAAAAAAAAGACAAAGGAGAGAAGTGGTTGATACGACCTGAAGGCAAACAGGACATTAAAAAAAGATATATATATATATATATATATATATATATATATATATTTATGTATCAAATGTGTGTGTGTGTGTGTGTGTGTGTGTGTGTGTGTGTGTGTGTGTGTGTGTGTGTGTGTGTGTGTGTGAAAGCGGAACATTTCTGAACGTGTTTGTGTGTAATAAAAAAACCAATTGCCTTGTTTGAAGTTCTTATGGACAAGACCAAAACGATATATATATATATATATATATATATAATTATATAAAACGTATGTATGTGTGTGTGTGTGTGTGTGTGTGTGTGTGTGTGTGTGTGTTTTCTGAACGTGTTTGTGTGTGAAAAAAGTCTTTTCTGTGGACAAGCAAAATGAAATCAAACCCTTCGGCTTTAGCACGCCTTATTCTCGAGCCGAACTAGATAATCCAGTATTGCTTCCGCCTGGCGCCGCTCAAGACTTCCCGAATAAATTCCTTGATCCAACGGATAAGTGAAATTCGGCTACGAACCGAAATACCAGCTCGCAATTTCTACAGCGACTCAGCTTAAAGTATCAGAATATTTTTTTTTATCCAAAAGGTTTAGAGTTACTATTTTGAAACCATCTCCTTTTTTGTGGGACCCACATCTCCTTTTGGTCACACAAGTTGTCGTCGGAGCGTACAATTTAAATTAACCTTCGTCTTCGACCTTCCTTACAAGTGTTCGACATAAAAGCATGAGGTAATTGTTGGGTCAGTCTTAGAAGTGGGTCAGTTTTTATCGATCGGTTTAAACCGTGTTCGTTTGGACACTGTCCAAGCGTCTGTCTCTCGGCGTTATTCGCTTTCTGCAGTAGATCATTTCCCTTTAAGAATTCCACTAAATTTTAGTCTTGGACATTTGGCTGCAGATCGGCGAAAATGTCGTCTCTTGTACGCCATAATTACGAAATCCCGTTTACTCTACCTTGCCGAGATGTAATCGAAAAGGGCGAATACCCCTCATCTTATATGGAAGTGTGTGATTTTCTAATTGTATCTTAGATGTGGTACAAGGCCGAAAGTATGGGGCACCCAGTGAGGATGAAACTCACTACTCATTCGTAATTGATCTCACAAGACAAGCCTGCTAGCCATAACACCATGTCGAAGTACCTTAAAATGAGTTTCTAAGCATAGCTTAGATGTGGCACAAGGCCGAAGGTGTGGAGAACTCAGTGAGGACCGAACTCACTACCCAGTCGTAATTGATCAAGCGAGACAAGCTTGTTAGCCATTACACCACGTCGAATTGCTCCCTCTTATATGGAAGTGAATACTGAACAAGTTCGTTACAGTTAAAGGGCTGACGGCGTAATAGCAACGTGACTCTACTGGATGCTGGAGGAAACATGTGAGCAAAGACGGAGTTTCATAGAAAATGCGAATAAAAAAAGATATCTGTATTTAGAATCATAAAGAGGTAGTTAAAATCTTTAAGACACATACTATATAATAGATAGATAGATAGATAGATAACAGATTTAGATAGATGAATAACAGAATTAGATAGATAGATAGATAGATAGATAGATAGATAGATAATGGATTAAATACTAAAACAGTAGTTTAAAAAATATTTATATATATATACATATATGTGTGTGTGTGTGTGGGTGGGTGGGTGTGTGTGTGGGTGTGTGTGTGTGTGTACGTTTGCGTGTGTGTTTTTGTACTTACCTCTTAAGAATGTTCCTTATTAAATTAAAAAAAATACTCCAGTCGAACGATTGGGGCAATGGCTAGGAACCTTGTCTTGCTAGATCCATACCTTCGGCCTTGCGCAACATCTCAGCTACGCTTAGAAAATCATTTACTACAGTGGAACACACAAACACACACACAGATATACGCACGCACACACACACGCACACACACACACATATATATATATATATATATATATATATATATATATTCCCCTTTATTCAGTAGAATATATATATATATATATATATATATATATATATATATATATATATATATATATATATATATATATATGTATGTTTAATTCACCTAGATAATATTATAGGTGCTGTTTCCTTATATTCGTCCTTGTGTTACTCAGGCTTAATGTCGTTATGACGTTGTCTGTGCCAAGCTTCTTGATAAAGATTCTTGTAAGATTCGATTGTACCGGCAATGCCTTAGAGATAACAAAATTTTTCATAATGAGTATTTTTTTTAAGAATGTTTTTCTCACATAATGTACATTGCCATTATTTTTAGCAGTAGCTTTCCAATTCTTTTTGGGAAGGAAAAAAAAAAGACCTGAACGAACCCAACATTATTATGAATCTCAAATCTCTTTCAGAATATTTGCTGTTAACAGAATCTTTCGACCGATAAAGTCTTCAGCTAAGAAAAAGGAAATATTTTAGACACAGAAATCACTCGTTAGTGTATCTAGTTTTGAAGTCTAACATTTTAATGGAGTATTCTTTGGTTAAAAATATACAGAGGTGGTGAAAGTTTTATTTATTTAGTTTCTTTTATTAGAGGGAAAGACAATTTTCGAACCTCACAAGTTTATTATGACGATCTATCTAGTTTAATGAATTTGCGCTTTTTGACCTTTTTTGTATAAAGACTCTATCCGTTTATCGCATATTAATAAAAAAAAATTATACCTCCCCGATTATTAAGAACCCCTACATTTATTGAATACTGATGAAAATTCACCCCCCCCCCCGACAATGAAGATCAACTCCGTTTATTACATATTGATAAAAATTTACACCCACCAATTATCTTGATAAAAATTTACACCCACCAATTATCTTGATAAAAATTTACACCCAACCAATTATCGTGATAAAAATCTACAACCCACCGATTTTAAGATCCCCTTATTATTTTAATAGTCTATTTTCAAAACATATGATAAAGAGGAGATCCCGAACCCTGAGAAGGAATAGCTCAGCCTAAATTATTAACATTATTCGGACTATTCTCCTCATCTTTGTCGCCATATTTATTACAATGTTTCGGCCGTTGTACGCTCCGGCCTTCTTCAGGTGGTTGGAATGTCGAACTGAACCCTTTATTTAGCTCACTGGGGTAGACTGTTCTAGTTCCACGTGCCATGTTTAATGGATGTCAGTTATCAGTTATCTCCTGTTAAATTCCCTCTGAAAGTTCTCCACTGCCTTAATCGGGTATTGAAATCACACTCTTTGGGTCCTGTCACTGGATCTAACCAACGCCTTTATCCACTGTATTCAGAAGGAAATTAACAGGAGATAACGGATAACTGACATCCATTAGACATGGCACGTGGAACAAGAACAGTCTACCCCAGTGAGCAAAATAAAGAGTTAAGTTTGACATTCCAACCACCTGAAGAAAGCCGGGGCGTACAACGGCCGAAACGTTGTGATAAACATGACGACAAAGGTGAGGACAATAGTAATGTACATATTACCTCATCTCAGAAATATAGACAGATCAGCCTAAATGTTTGTATCATAACAGCTGTTTTGAGTTGAAGACACTGCAAATCAGTGCGATTTCTTTTACATGGCTGCCCGTTTCAGAACATGCCCTTCTAGTTAGACCCATCTGCTTCTTTAACACTCACTGTGGTTTATATAACAACTATTTTGAGTAAAGATTACAGTTTAAGTATATGCCCCACCACGTCCACATAGTTTTTCTTTCCGCTTGCCAACCACAGTTAGAGAGTGCCGTGTGTCACGTTACTTAACTGATAACGAGGACTTTTGTATAATAACAACAGGTAAACTAGGAAGAGATTTGAGCGTCCGAGAAATGTTGGATATGATATGTTAATGACGCCTTTGAAAGTTATAGACAGCATTCCGAATTCTTATCATATTGTTTAACCCCGTACAAAACCTGTTTTGAATTTACGATATTTTTCAAGATCATTGGCATATCTGGAGGAAACATGAATCACGAGTTGTTTGGTCCTACATCCGTTTTTAGAATTCTAATCTTTCCTGGAGAAAGTTGGTTAATGTTCAATCGCGGTACTCACCTCTCGTGTTTTGCAGCATTTTCCAATCCTCCAGGGAGATTTCTTATTCGTTCCTATCCAGATTATTTCATCAGTTACATCTGCTTTTTGGCAGGTCAGGTTCTCTGGCCAAATTAGATAATCTTTTCGCACATCGAATTCCCCTGAAGCCAAGCATTGCATGATTTTTTTTTCTCCTTTAACAGCTTCTGGTTTTCGTTCTTCTTTTATGACCGTCTATCATCCTTTTTCCTTTTATCTATCATTTATTTCCTCGGAATTCTTCAATAGTGACTGGAAACCTCCCTAGAGATTCAGTTTCTTTAGCAATATCCTCGGACATCTACATTTGTATTTTTCCAGTTCACCTCAAAATTGCTTTGGTCTTCTTCTTCTTCTTCTTCTTCTTCTTATTATTATTATTATTATTATTATTATTATTATTATTATTTCATTTGATTTCTGATGTAAACACATTTCCTTCCGGGTTGCAACCAGAGATCTAAGGTCAGAGACATTTTCCACTGATCATTTTTGTCAAAAGATCACACACATTTTACATAAATAAAGCTCTTTGTAATGTGTGATCTGTACTTGTGAGTACAATTTTTTTATTTCTTTAAGGCATGGGCTACCAGGAATCCCTTCAGTGTGTATATCGGACCCTTTTCCAATCAATCCGACGCCTCTAACTACAAATTATTGATGTCCTCATCTACCACACTTCTGAGACTTCCACTTCAAGATTCTGGTATCTTGATAATTTTTTTGAAGATTCTCAAAGATACATTACAAAATTGCGGGGGCAGCCATGTCAATAAGAAAGCACATTATTATTATTATATATGTTGATTTCTGCTATGGTCAAACTATCTACCAAGTCTGCTGGAAGACCTAAGGTAGGTAGTAGTGTGTTGTTATGGTTACATTTCATGATTTTTCTAACTTCCATAATATCATTACGCTTACATGGACAAAGTTCTTTTTAGTGTGTGGGCTGGACTTATCAAGACAATTTTTATATTTCTCTTAAGCTGGAATTTCCAAGAAATTTTCTATGTGTTGTTGTGTTCCATTTTTTATCATTCCAAGCGCACCTACTATATATTCTTGTTTTCAATTTCCACATTTTTTTCTACTTTGATTTTCAGGTTTTATACTTCGATAGATTTTCAAATTTCTTGTTTGCTATGTTACGGTACACTATTATGTATATTTGCCTGATAGTTTCTGGTGAAAAGACTCTGGTCTTACACTGCAAGAATACAGCCTCCCGTCTTAGCCTTTAATCCAGATGCTCGTAGCAATCGATGAGTGTTAACTTTATCAACATCGGCTTTATTATTATTATTATTATTATCTGCTATCTATTTATTACTAGTGCAGTGTGTTTAATTTTCATTAGTTGCCGCATACTTGTTCCATTGTGTCAGACGAGGCTAAGCTTAAAATATACCAATAAGATGACTAAACGTTGAGCAAGTTAGTCTTTCAGGCCGTAACTGCTGTAGTTGAATCCTTACTAAGTGACTCATTCTTGTAGCTTTATGCAAGCTGTTGCGTAACCAAGATAGTTTCATGTTTCTCGCCGCCTCTTGTTGTCAGTGTTCAAGCCCATGTAAAAACTTCAAGTCATGTAAAAGTTTCGAATGTTGATTTTCAAATCCTATCGATCTTTCTCACTTTAAGCTGACGCAACATAATCTTCTTTTCGCGTATTCTCACTCATATACTTAGATTAATCTGTCTCAAGGGAAATCTATGAACTTATAAGCATTGAATATGAACAATAGCAGTTTACTTAGCCGGGTTTGTTTTATGAGCGAAACAGCTCCAAAAATTTTTACTGATGTCATTAGTCAATTCTCGTATGTTGGATATTGATTTTCAAGACAGAAAATATAATTTATCGATCATTCGATTGAGCTTTCATCAAGTTCCCTAAGTAAAAATGGATTATATTTACTGACACTGATTTATCTGTGAATAAAATTATTTTTATTGTTTTTGATCCAACCATGACATTATAATGGCTTGCTGTAGGAATACAATTCAGCCATTATAGGGCCCATTGCATTCTCACAAATATGAGACTTTTCTTGAAAAACAAAATTCTCAAAATATTTAGTAATTTCCCCATTCAGACAAGCAAGAAGCGTAGCGATATATGATCATGCTCATTAAACGAGGAGTGGTCTTTCAATTGGGCAGGACTGTACAAACTACTTAGAGGCGACACTCCTGTTTATCTCCGATTGGTCACGACCTAGTCTGGGATGAATGTAGACTGGAGTGATGTGATTTATGTCTTCTAATTAAGGTGGTAGGAAAGAAAAGAGTTCAAATTCCATAAAAGAGGAAGCATTTCGCCAGCTTGCATTAATCCGTTCCGGTCAGCTCTGCGAGGAATGGACCCTGAAACACATACTGAAGAAAGATGAACAGGATTTAACATTCACAGGATATAATGAAGGCAACAGTAATGGAGTATACAGCAAGTCTGAGTGTTCGGATAAGATAATAATGGCAGAGAGGGACCGCAAGAAATAAAACAAGTACTTAGAGCAACAAAAGAAAGGAAATTGAGGAGAGCCATGATATCTCGCATCCTGAATGAATAAAAGAAAATAATGTTATTAACTTGAAATTTTTTCTTGACACTCATGGCAAATTTCTTTCATCTATTCGGAGTTATGCGTGTAATTTTATTTTTACTTAATTCTTTGAGGTAATGGATGCTAGACAATGTCGCCATAGATGAAAAAAATGAAAAGTCTGAGGCGAGTAACTTAATGGATAACGACACGAATAATTGGAATCAGGGAACTGTGTTCAAATCCCATAGTCGTTTGCATTCCCTTTCGCTCAAACTCCTTTGAAAAAGCATGAATCCGTTACCGCCCCCCCAACTATGTTTTAAATAGCAGAATAGAATAGATATCTGTAAGATCGGATGACCGTTAGTTTAAAAAATGAAAAACTCTGTTGTGGAAAAGGTAACGGAAAGTGCCTCCATTATCTTTCCAAAGAAGTCATATCAATTCACAGATGATAGCCTACGTTCTAAAGAAACATGGCTTAAAAAAAAAAAGATTTGTTCGGAAAAAAAAAACTGTACTCTTATTTTTTTTTATCTTAATATCACAATGAAACTACAATTCAATGGACAATCACGCGTATTCATCAAGTTCTGGTTTTCGTATAAATTATCTTGCGAAAAATAAAAATTCAGTAAGTTCGTGCTAAGCATAAATAAAATATCAGTTTATGGATATTTCATGTAACGCATATATATATATATTGCGTGCCAAAAACCAACATAGTTTACAAATTCAAGTGCCCTTTGGGAGATTGTATCTCCAACGAATTAAATAATATTTATGTTGGTCACACCACAAACTCGCTTTCACGACGCTTAACACTACATTTAATATAAAACTCTAACATTTTTAGGCATTTAAAACAACATGCCTGGCCGCATATACAATTCCGTAAAATCCTTGTCGAAAAAAAATTATACTTAAACATGAAAACAATAAACAAAAACTAAAAATTCTTGAAGCCATATACATAAAACAGTTGAAACCTAACCTGAACAAAATAAACTACGAAATCTCCACAAATATTCTTAAATGCCTATAATTGATAACAGAAGCCATTGGTTTATACCAACGGCTTCCCATACTTAATAATTCTCGTTTTCACTCTCGCGTGGCCATGTGTAACATCACGATCAGCGACGCGATTTTCGCTTCCGCGTCTCGTATACACGAGTTTGTCGTTGCTTTGAAATTTTTCATACAACAAAAACAGACTATCATTATTGTTTCGCCTGTGTAATTTTTGATATATTGAAATGTAATTGTCATCTTTGATAATGGCTTATGTAAGCCGAAAGCTTAGACTGGATTAAAAATATGTATCAATATTGTGATTTTCTTTCTTCGTTTATTAAGCTTATCAGACGTTATGAAAAGAATTTACATAAAATAAATAGTCAACACTTGTCTATATTATTTAATGAAACATATATATATATATATATGTGTGTGTGTGTGTGTGTGTGTGTGTGTGTGTGTGTGTGTGTGTGTGTGAATTCATTTAGTATACGATATGGATGTGCGTAATAGTTATCACGGCAGAAATGGAATCAGTGATCCAAGTTCAAATTGCGATGTAATCTGCTGCCTTCACTTTCGCACCAATGCTCTTAAGAAAGACGGGAATCTATCTCTTTTAATAGCATGTGCACTGGGATTTATCGCCTTGAGTGGCAGCCAGTTTAAGAGAACGATAATTATGAACTTAAAACAGTGGAGAGTGCAACGAGAAGCCCTTCCTCTATATTTCCGAAGAATGCATAGCAATTCGAAAATGTCTCCAGAAAAATATGTGGAGAATTATGATCACCTACAACAGTGGATGTGCGGATGGTGTAATGAATAGCGGCTCTGAATGAGAAATCGGAGAGCTGAGGTCTTGTTGTTGGACGTAGTTTATTGCCATATACAGGACGCAGAAGTAGTTTATCGTCTTACCCAGGACGAGTGGGACTTGTATCGGGAAAATTCATTGTTATTTAAAAAAATGTTAATGCAATATTTACTAGTAAAAAAAAAAAAATAAAAAGAGAATTATTCTTCAGTATCTGTCTACTATTTACATTATTCCGACTATTGTCCTCATATTTGTCGCCATATTTATTACAACGTTTCGGCCGTTGTACGCTCAGGCCTTCTTTGGGTGATTAGAATGTCGAACTGAACCCTTTATTTCGCTCACTGGGATAGACTGTTCTAGTTCCACGTGCCATATTTAATGGATGTCAGTTATCAGTTATCTCCTGTTAATTCCCCTTTGCAAGTTCTCCACTGCCTTAACCGGGTATTGAACACACACTCTTTGGGTCCTATCACTGGATCTAACCAACGCCTTATCCACTGTGCCATGTGTTCAGAGAGTAATTAACAGGAGATAACTGTGCCATCTGAGGTTCAGTTCGACATTCCAACCACCTGAAGAAGGCCGGAGCGTACCACGGCCGAAACGTAATAAATATGGTGACAAAGATTAGGACAATAGTTCGAATAGCGTAAATAGTGTAGAATTATTCAAGATATGTTTTGGTTTTAAATAACTCAGGGAAGGTTGATAAGACGTAAAAAATATCAGATCGATTTTTAATTCCATTCTCATCTTACGATCAGTTTCTTATTGGGTCATCAATCTACTTTAAGATACATATTTGTTTATACAAAAAAAACATTTATAAGGATATCTGCTGACAAAAAAAATGGAAATGCTAAGGATCTCGTTAGTTTTTCGAATATTTGGAGACTTTCGCATCAACCTGTGTTTTGGATTCTTTGCAACACTGATTTCGACGTTCCTTTTTCACGCTTTTTGCTGAATCTTTTTTAAAACCTTTTTTTGGGGAGAGGGTTGCATTTTGTAAACTAGATATAAAAAAAAATAAACAAACACAGAAGAAATGTTTTCAATTTCAGATCAACGAAAGTTTTTTTTTTCTTTCTGTTTTTTTTTTTTTAATCAACAAATCTCTTTCCTCATTATTTATTTTCCAGATTTTTTTCCTCCCTTTCTATGTGTGCATAAATACACAAAAAGCGTGTGTGTGTGTGTGTGTGCACCGGGTGGTATTCGCTGATGGCTTCTTGGACATGTGCATGCGTGCATCTGTTGCATTGTTACGTATTCGTTTTAAGCAGTAGCAGCGAGGCTATTACCTCTCTCCACCACCCCCGACACACACACCACCTCGACACACATAAACACACACAAACCCGCACAAACACCCCCACCACACACATATAAAAACAGCCATCTTTTAATTCTCTTATTATCATTAGACAGAAAGAAAATAGAAGACGGACATGATTTTAATTTCTTCTTTCTAATAAATAAACCTGAACGTCAATCAGTTATTACTTCTCCAATCTTCCTCTCTTTCCCCCTCTGTTTGTCTTCCTTACTCCTTCTATCTTTTCTCCTGCCTCTCACTTTCTCTCGCTTTTCTCTCTCTCTCTCTCTCTCTCTCTTTTCTTTCTCTCTCTCTCTCTCTCTGCTTCTTAGTTTATCTGCTTTCTTTTTCGTTTAAATGGCTATACGAAATTCATTTCATTCTTTCTACCTCTCCATGTTTTTCCTACTTTCTTTTGTGCTAGTCTACTTTAGCGATACAAACACCTGCCAATCTGATATTCTTTCTTACTTTCTTTCTTTCTTTCTTTATTTATTTCTATATATCTCCCTTTTCTCTTTCTCTCACTCTCTCTCTCTCTCTCTCTCTATCTCTTTCTCTCTCTTTATTAACTTGTCCCTTTTCGTTTAAAAGACCATGCTAAATGCATTTTGTCGCTTCTACTTCTCCATGTTTCTCCTTTCTTTATTGCTGGTCTATTATAGCATTTCAAACACCTGCCTATGTGATATTCTTCTTTCTTTCTTTCTTTCTTTCTTTCTTTCTTTCTTTCTTTCTTTCTTTCTTTCTTCTCTCTCCGTCCCCCTCTCTCTCTCTCTTTCTCTTAGTGCGTCTCTTTCGTTTAAAAGGCTATGTTTAATACAGTTCATCGCTTCTACTTCCCTATATTTGTCCTCCTTTCTTTCATTCATTCTTTCTTTCTTTCTTTCTTTTTTCTTTCTTTCTTTCTTTCTTTCATTCTTTCTTTCTTTTGTCTTTCTTTCTTTCTTTCATTCTTTCTTTCTTTCTTTTTTCTTTCTTTCTTTCTTTCATTCTTTCTTTCTTTCTTTTTTCTTTCTTTCTTTCTTTTTTCTTTCTTTCTTTCTTTCTTTCTTTCATTCTTTCTTTCTTTCTTTTTTCTTTCTTTCTTCTTTCTTTCTTTCTTTCTTTCTTTCTTTCATTCTTTCTTTCTTTCTATAATTAACATCTTTCTTTTCATCATCTCTTCCTTAATCACGCTTCCGTCATTTTTCTTTTCTTTTCTATTTTTTTTATTTGTTTGTTTCTTGTTGTTTTTACTATCACTCGCCTGTCTTCTGAGTTTTCCATCAAACAGACAAGACTGTTTCGTCAGTTTTACTGCACTTAAAACAATCTTGTTAAAGATTTCAAAGTCCCAATGTCAATAGTTCTTGCGTTGACTCTCCATTTCTATCTTGGCTTCTTCTATTCGCTTTTATTTTCGTTTTTACAAGACAGTTTTTTCCCCTCTCTTTCAATTTCTTTACGGCTCTACCAAAGAAGATTATGTGCAATTCATTGTGTAGACCAGAATGTGTGTGTAACAGAAATGTCGTATTGTGTGACCCTCTTTATACGTTTGTGCGATTTCAAATATATTTGATGATGAGCGCTCTTTTGAACAGGTGTGCCTGTAAGAAAGTAACAGTATGTTAGTATGCATTTGAATCAGTCATGTACGCAAACATATCCAGGCATCTTTGTGCGTGGCAATGTTTTCATGACGCCTGCAAGTTCGAATGTATACGTGTGTATTTAAAATGAATCGGCAAGATCAAATTTGAATGCGTATTTAATAAGTCCCGCACATGAACATCGCCACCGGTAAGAGTTTCTCATAAAGACCATACGTGTATGCCATTTGAAATGAGGTTTGTATTCCACATATTTGCAGGATTGCAATTTTTGAAAAGAAGTCTTGCTAGATTTTTTTTTTATTTTATCCTTTTTGAATGGATCAGTCTTTTTGTTGTTTTATTGTGATTGGGTTTTTTTTGGGGGTGGGGACTTTTTGCGTACACCTTTACGTAACAAATTATGTAGAGAGTTGTAATCAAATTAATCCAAATCCGATGCCTAAAGCTCAATCCACATGTAGGTGTTGTGTTTGATACCTAACTTTTTTAACAGCATATCTCTTCTGGTCGTAAGCGATCATAATTCAAGATAGATTTTTCTTTATTATATATCTTCTTACGAAGGATAGTGGAGTAATTTCCCATTGCCTTCTCCTCAGTTAAGAATTCTGGATTCTCCATCTTCTACCCTGATTTCCCAACCATGATTATAAGACACAGTCTATCCTGTTATTTAATCTATTACTTGGATTACAAAGAATAGAGTTCCAAGAGCATTTGTGTAAAATTGAACGCAACAGACTAACCCGGAGATTGAACTCGGTCCGCCATTTCTAATATCTATGCTGGTATCTATATATTATTATTATATCCACATATAGTCATGTATTATTATTCATATATTATACATATTATATCCACATATTATTTTATCGAGTCTAAATCTGCAATACTTGGTCAGGGATTGAACTCACCGTTAGAATATAGTGAAATTGACGAAACAACGATTTCATCCCTTACGCTATAAAGCTCATTGTTATAAACCAATTCTCTACAGCCATAGATAAAAAAGAAATTGAGTGATTGATTCGTTTGCAAACCTTTGTAGGTTATTTAAAGCCAGAAAATATTTTTAGATTAGTCATACTTGTCTTACTAATCAACCCATAGCGTGTGAGAGAAAAGGTAGATTCATGTTTTTCCCAAGGATAATTGGCTCTGATTTGACATCTCGACTTCAGTCACTCTCTCATAGACGTGATATGGCTTCCCTCTGTCTTTTCTGCAAATATTTTCATGACAACTGTTCTGATGAGCTATCTTTCCTGATTCCCAAACTGCATGGATTTAAGCGTTCTATTAAACTAAGGATAAAGACAGAATGTATGGTCATCAGCAAACAGATGAGCCCGAAATACGATTTACAGGTCGAGGACACTAAAGTCAAGCTTAAATAAAGATTATTAAGAGCTACAAGGGACAGGAAGTTGTGGAGAGCCATGTCCTGAGGGGACATGGCATGTAAAGAAGAGAAGACATGATTTATTATTATTATTATTATAAAAGTTATATTTCGTTGTCAAAAGTGCTTTTGTAACACCAGTTCCCGTACGATAACCGAAGTTAAGCAACTAGTACCTAGATGGGTGACCACTTGGGGAAACCAGGTGCTTCTTGGATGTGCGGTTGGTGTAATGGATAATCGCTTGGAATTGTTAATCGGAGAGCGGAGTTCCAATTCCAATTGAGTTCGTTATATTTACTTACATGCAATTTTTTTTTTTAAGCAAGGCTGGAGTACCACTAGCGCGCAGGTGGTTACAGAGATGAAAATGGGGGAAAAACTGTGTATTGATGAGATTATTGATGAGATTGAAAAAAAAGGATAAAAGGGGAACGAGGATCAAGGTAACAAAAGATGGCGATTGACGTTGCATTTCAATTTTTAATCAGGGAAACAAGTAAGAGGAAAGGAGTTCCACTGCCGGGAAGTACGAGAAAAGAAACTGCTGGAGTAAAAATGGCGGTTGCATTTACCTAAGTCAACAGTAAACGTGTAGCACCTCGATACCAATTTAGTGTTCATTCTTCTTTTATGTACCGTTCCCCTTCAGGACGAAGGCGATTATGGCCCTCCATATCTTTCTGTACCTCTCAACAAGCTTTGACCTTTCCTTATTTCTCCCAGACCCTGTTCTGTCATCCACTTGCTTAAGTATGTCACGAGTTGCTTTCTCTTGTCCCCCTCTTTCCCGCCATCCGCCCTGTGAGTATCAGTCTGTTATTTCTCCTTTGTCTGTTATCTCTCCTAAACCCTGATTCGCCTTCCATTTCCTCAGGCTCACTAAGCATGTTGGGCGTTGCTTTCCTCTATCCCTCTTGCTCTCTACCTGTTCCATGAATATAAGATGTTCTTAGCCCGCCTGTCTCATTGTGTACTCCAGAAACTGTCTTTTCATTATTTAAGTATTAATTTAAGTATTAATTTCCTTTTTGTTTCCATTTTCTCTAAAACTTCATCGTTGCTCACATGTTCGACATTCTCAGCATCCTTCTGTAGAACCACATTTATGTTGCTTCAAGTCTCCCCTTCATTTTTGAGATCGTCCAACACACAGTCATTGAGGACAGATATCACGTAGCAATTTAGTACTATTTCCTTTTATTTCTAGCGAAATGTTTATATTTTTCTTCTTAGGTTTTGGAATGCTTCCTTGGCTATCTCGATACGCCTTCGGATTTCAGTGTCACAAATTCATTAATTGCTTAGAAATATGAATTTATTTATATAGTTTCTCTATTAATCCAAATCTGAGTCACCATTGTAATGAATGAAACGAGAAATTGACCCCAAAACGGAGAAAATTATGCATTAACAAATTTAATGTTGAAAAATTAAGATCAAAGTTTCTCAAACTTTTTCAGCAATGACACACCTAGAAGCAAATGAAAATATCACAGTGCAAAATTTTTAAAGGGCATACATTTGAATGTTATGAAATAAAAATAGTTTTTTCTTTAAATACACACACAAATATGAACTTATTTCATTTCATTGTTTCTATTCAACGATTTGTGCAGCTTATTTAGTGTGAAACCTGTGGCCAGTGGTTTTTTTTTTTCTTCAATGTTTGGTCGAATGTGCGATAAGCTGACTTTCATTTCTTCTTCAGTTGAGCGTAGTCTTCCTCGCTTCTTATTTTTGATGTTATTTAGGGTTGAGAAGCTTAATTCATATAAATAAGGAGTTGAAAATTGCAATAAAACTGATAAAGCTTTTTTTAGCAAATGTGGGAGGTTCCTTTTGTATTGAAATCCAAAACGTATTGATATTTCAAGGCACGCTTAAAAGGATCGCGAGGTACACTAGACTGCCGCGGAACGGCACGTGAGAATCACAGCTTTACATAAACGAATTATCTTTCTTTGATCTATTCTTGAGTTGTGAATGTAAGAACGCGTAAAAGACACATTTGCGTACATATACATAAGCTTAAGTGGGCTCACGAAAGAGAAGAAAAACTATAAAAAAAAATATGCTGTTGGAAAAAAAACGATGTTTTTATTTTTGTTGTTCTTTGTTTCTTTGTTTCTTTTTTTTTTTGTTATTAATTATTTTATATTTTCTTAATTTTAAAATTCATCCATTTCTTTCCGACACACACTGACACATACACAAAAATACACCTTTTTTTCCCCCTTTTTCTTTTCTACCTTCGATTTGTCCTGCCATCAAATCCCTTGCTCTGGTGATGTTTTACGATGAAATTAATTTTTCTGCCAAACCACTATTCAAGCACATTCACCACCTAGCTGCCGTAATGCCATTGCGCCGAGGTAGGCGGATAACACAAGTAATCAATGGCGAGGATTTATTCAAGCATTAAGATGTCTTAATTGGCTCAAACCGACGTCAGTTTTACACGCAAAAATACACATTGAGACGGACTCGCACTGAACCACTTATATCTATACACGCGTATGCACGCACACTTGCAAGTATGCCTATATAACGATACGGATATATATTTACAAGTGACATGTATATCTGTC